GAAACAATGCAAATATTCAATATTAGGAAAATGGTTAAGTAAATGTTGATAGATCCCTTAATGGATAGATGCATTATCCCATGTAAAGTATGACGTTTATCACATTTACTTATTATAACAATTCTGTGAGGCAGGCATTATTTCCCTCATTTTATAGATGAGGACACTGAGGTTTAGGGAGATTAAGCAGCTTGTCTGAAAATACAATTTTAATAAGTGGAAAAAGTAGTATTCTAGCTCAAGTCAATCTGCTTCCCAAATACAAGTTCAATTGAAAAACAAGCATTAAAAAGTGCTGACCTTTGAAAACACAAACATTGTTTATTTAAGTTTGGGAATTAGGGGTTTTCTTCCTTGTTTCTTTTTCCTTTCACTTTTCTATATTTGATACTTGCATATTTAAAATATTAGATTCTAAAAGAAAGTTGATTGTATGCTTAGGCAACTGTGGTAGTCTCAGTGGCTAAAACAGAGTTGCACAGACAGTAGTGGCTGTAGAAAAAGCTGGAATGTGAAGGGCCTTGTGCACTTCCACTAAGGTGTCCTCTGTATGCAAAGTAATGCACAGCAGAAGTGTCAGGTTAACAGAATGTCTATGGGGATAGTGGAATGAAATACTCAGATGTAAGTTTTAGTGTGATAGTTTACATTGATAATCATTATTGTATGCCTTGGCTTTTAAAAACCTAACAGGACAGTGTCCTTTGAAAATGGCAGTTAATAAAAAGCATTAGGCCCCTAAAGTTACCTCCTTTTGTGTGCAAGTCCCTCATAATTATCTTTTCATAAAGTGAATGTTCAGTCTGAAAGACTGAGAGAGGGAACAAAAAGGTCAATATTGTGAATTGTAATTAGGCAATTGGATTTCTGGGCCAAATTCCAGGCTGTGCTAAATCCACTCCTTGCTGGCAATTCCTCCTCTCTGACCCATTACCCTTCTTTCAACACTCTGGAGTTTCAGTCTCTTCTTTAAGATTTTTGCATTAACAATAGATTTCTAGGTTTGGGTTTGTTTTGTTAATGTGTGACGGTTAGGTTTATCAGCGGCTGTCTGTGTAAAATGGCTTAAAAGTCTACTGTAATCCTTCTTCCACGCTGAATTTGTCACCAGAATGGGAATGATTTAATACCTAAAGAAGTAACTTCACTGACAAAGTTTTAAAGGGTTTTTGTTTAATTGCACTTTGTTTTAAACTGAGCTACTCAAGAATAGTGGGGGGATTGCACACAGGTTGGAAATGGCCTCTCAAAGATTAGCTACAGGTCTTAGCCAAGGTCCTCCAAAAATGTTTAGCTATTCATTCACAAATTCTTCTTCTATAATTAATCTGGACCTTGACTTTCTCCTTTTTCATAAGGTTGTGGAAATAGCTTTTAAAGAATTAAAGATACCGTAACACTTCATTTTGCTTCAGTTCAATAGCACATATATTGAGTGCCTACTATGTGCTAGACACTGCCTTAAATGCTCTGGGGTTCAAAGATATATAAGATTAAACCCCTGGGCAGCTCATAGAATGGTGGTAGAGAGAAGTCATATGTACAAATAATACCAGATTGCATACAGAAAGTGGCATTTAGGAGGTACAGATAAAGGGAACAGTGGTAGAAGAGGGAGAGGGAGAGCTATAATGACTGTCTACCAGGAAAACTTTATTAATGACATGGCATTAGAACTTGGCTTGAAAGTATGGAGGGCTTTGAACAGACACAAATGAAGAACAGCTCATAGTACATTCTCAATGAATGTGTACTGAAGGTGTTAATGAAAGGGACAGATGCAAGACGTGCTTGAGAAATAGCAAGTTCACTAATCTATATCTAAACATAAATTCTGCTTATGTGAAAAATTATCATTCAGGTATTCCATGATGTACACAAAGGATGCATTCTTGAAAATTAACATAAAATGCTTATGTTGAAAGCAAATTTCTCATAAGACATAATGGTAAAGGAGGGCGTTGGGGGTTTTGGTGAAACTGAAGTGATGTTATAGGCTGGATAAGCAGTTCTCAAACAATGGTTTATGGATCCTGGGAATCCAAGAAATCCAGGGATCCACAAGGTTAAAACTACTTGCACAACAGTACTAAGATATTATTTGTCTTTCCCCCTGTGTTGATATTTGCACCAGTGGTTCAAAAGCAGTGGCAAGTACAACTCTTCAATGCCACAATATGAATCAAGACACCACAGGATGAATTAAGCCAATAGCACCGAAATGTACTAGTAGTCATTGTATTCTTCACTGGTGTGTACTTGCAGAAAAATAAAGGGCAGTTTCACTTAAGGATATCGTTGCTGAATCTGTAAACATTTACCAATTTTATTAAACCTCATCTCTTGCACTTTTAAAAGATTCTGTGTTATAAAATGGGAAGTACACTTAAAGTATTTACACAGTAAACCATGTCAGTGTGCATCTCAAGAAAAGGCACTTGTGAGAAATTTGAGCTGTGAGCTTTCTGTTTCATTTTTACTTGAGAGAATGACTGACAAACTATAGTTATGCAGACTTGAATACTTGCTAGACATTTTCTTGGAAAGGAACAAAGAGAGCCTGTCAGTTCAGGGAAAACAACTGGCAGTATTTATTGCCAATAATAAAATTCAGGCTTTCAACAGAACACCAAAAGTTGTTTTAAAGTTTTACCTGCCACTGTGAGCTTGAGAGCTTCCCAAAACTTAAAGACTTTTCAGATGAGATTGGCGATAATATTAATGAATGTGATTTTTTATATCATATAATGAAAGGTGTTGACATTGGGAAGATCCGCATTGCTTAGTGAGCCAGTATTTTCCAGATGACCCATGGATGATGACACAAAATGAGTAAAATGCATGTTCAAAGTTCAAAACATACCAATGGATTTAAATGTAACAGGACATGAAATATTTATTTATATAGTTTCATATTCTACATTGCAACTACTTGTTGAGTTTTTATGTAGTATCAAAGAAAAATCTCCACAATTATCTGAAAAGTCTGCTAAAATACTTCTCTCTTTTCCCACGACATATCTGTGGGAGGTTGCATTAACTGCAGATGTTTCAACCAAAACCATATATCACAGCAGATTGAGTGGAGAAGCAGATTTGATAATCCAGCTATCTTATATTAAGCTAGACATCAAAGAGATTTATAAAACTGTTAAATAGTGCCACTCTTCCTGCGAATTATCTTATGTCTGGGAAAATATGTTTGTCATTCAAAAATGTTTATGTTCTAGCCAGGGCAATGTCGTGAGACCTCGCCTCTACAAAAAGTAAAAAAAAAAAAAAAAAAAAAAAAAAAAAAAAAAAAATTGGGAATGGTGTCACACACCTGCAGTCCCAGCTACTTAGGAAACTGAGGTGGGAGGATTGCTTAAGCCTGGGAGGTTGAGGCTGCAGTGAGCCATGATCATGCCACCGCACTCCCACCTGGGTGATGGATCCAGACCCTGTGTCAAAAAAAAATGTTTATGTCACATCATGGGTTCATTCTTGTTATGTTTACAGAAGCTATCAAATAAATATTTTTTAAATTTCTCATAATTTCTAAGATGGCAAATGTTGATAGATATAACTCGTATAAACAAAAGTTCTCTATGGTTCTCAGTAAGTATAAAGGAGTCCTGAGACCAAGAAGTTTGAGAACCACTAATCTAGCTCATCTTAGCCTGTATTTATATGTAATAAATGTAGTTGTGTATGATGAGCAGCAGAGGAAGTGTCAGGGTGAACGTGGTGCTGGAGTGGGAGACAGTTGGTAGATTGGCTTCTCCAATACCATCAGAGGTTGTTGGCCAGAGAAAAACAAAAACAAAAACAAAAACCTCTTTGGGGCTTTCCTTTCTTTGCTAAAAAATAAAAATAAAAACGTAAAAACCACCTGCAGAATCACATTTCTCTGTAGTATGTAGCTCTTTCCAAGTAGATCTCAGGGTGGCAGCTAAATCACAGGTGGAGAGCATAAAAGTATACTTAGCCGTGACATAAACATAGGGACGATGGAAACCACAGAAACCCCAGCTTGTGTTTGCAGCAGTTTTTCTTTGTGGATACCTCTTCCACAATCACAAAAATCTCAGTTTCTGTATATCCAGAATCTTTTGTTGGCTGTCTTTTAAAAGTAGGGGTTGGGTCTAAGATTTAGGATGAGAAATGGGTGATGGGGAAGAAGCCAGGACAAAAATAGAATATGAGAATGAAGCCTTGGAGAGAGATGGCGAGGAAAAATAAGATGGAATCTGACAACGGCCCTTGGGGACCCTTCGTGCGGTGCGCTGGGTCTTTGGGTCAGTGTAGAGACTTTTGAAAGGTAGGAGTCCCGTTAAATTAGTAATGCATTGGCCATGTGACTGAAAAGCCAGACACTGCAGAGTGAAACAAACATGTCTCTTAGTGTGCATATTATCTACAAAAAGCAAACTAAATTTAAAAGCATCTTACTGGAATTGTGGGAGAGGAGAATATTGAACAATTTTTCTAGTGATCAAGGCATATATATTCATGATGATTGATTATAAGTAGTTACTGTACATGTGTGTAAAATGGCACTGCTATTCTTCTCATTCGGTAGGAAGCACTTTGTGGTTTTAATTTAGCGACTGTAAATTTGGTTATTGGGGGCTTCCATCGGGATCTTTCTTGGTCTTGGTGTCCTCTTAGCTTTGCCTTATCATGTCTTAAGTTCCTCATGAGTGAGTTGTATCATGGAGACTTTCAGGAGCTTAAATACCGTGGTATGAGAAGATCTAATGCAATATACACTCTGGCTACTGCATGATGTAAGTAGAGTCAAGGAGTAGACCATCACATCAAATACTGTGGAAAGGTTCAGAAGTATGAATCTCTAAAGAGTATAAGCAGTTTACACCTACTTAAATTTGAAAGTGATTTTTTAAAGCTTCTGTGTAATTCCTTGAACATTTTTAATGCCTCCTGTTAATAACACATTGTGCAGACCTACCTGAGAAATATGAAGAGCTGATGCATTCCTGGTTGTTTTCTTTCAGCTCCTGAGAACCATGTCTGTGCCCAAAGGTAGAGTTCTGGATAAAAACCTGGATGAGGAAGGGTTTGAAAGTGGAGACTGTGGTGATGATGAAGATGAGTGCATTGGAGGCTCTGGTGATGGAATGATGAAAGTGAAGAATCAGCTCCGCTTCCTTGCAGGTAACTGATTAGTGCTGACCCAAATGTAATCTAAAAATGGTGATGCTCAGGAATTAAAAATAAATTGAACCTGCTTTCTGCAATTCCCTTACATTCCCTGTAACATGCATCTCATCAACTCTTCAAGGAAAGACTATACAAGCTCTAGAAAGTGAAGTTTTCAAGTAGCCTCTTTCTTTTCCTCCCACCATTTCCAACCTTTGGTAGATTAAAAGGGTAACTTCCTGTTTTTCATTATTTAAAATGAACTGACCTAATCACTTGGCTCTGTTTCTCATTGGAGTTTTCCTTGGTTCTTCTCATTTATAAAAAGAAATGCATAATAAGAAATGCAAATGCATGATGAAATAACCTGTACAATAAACCCCCATGACACAAGTTTACCTATATAACAAACCTAGACATGTACCCCTGAACTTAAAACAAAAGTTAAAAACAAACAAACAAACAAACAAAAAGAAATGCAACCTTGGAAGTCTTCTGAAAACCAATGGTGGGATAACTTTCAAAGGAAGAGCCATTAGCTGAGCCTCTTTTCTTAGGACGTTATGTCTATTTTGTTTTCTCACAAGTAGTCTAACATAGATAGGCTATGGCACATAACTGAAGACCTACATAAAGACAAGAGTGGTAGGGCACGGTGGTTCATGCCTGTAATCCCAGCAATTTAGGAGGCTGAGGTGAGAGAATCGCTTGAGCCCAGCAGTTCCAGACCAACCTGGGCAACATGATGAAATCCCATCTCTACAAAAATACAAAACTTAGCAGAGTGTGGTGGTACGCCTATTGTCCCAGCTACTTGGGAGGATTGCTTGAGTCCAGGAGGCAGTGGTTGTAGTGATCTGAGATTGTGCCACTGTGCTCCAGCCTGGGAGACAGAGCCAGAGTCTGTCTCAATTTTAAAAAAATAATAATAACTAAACAACAAAAGCAATAGAAAAAAGTAATATAGTACTGCTGGGGTCAAGGAGGCAAAACAACAACAAAATTTCCTAACATTTGTATCCCATATCACAGTTTAGAGTACTTTCATGTGGATAGGTGTTCTTCGATTTTACAGATAATAAAACCAGGTCTCAGAGAAGAAATGAGATTGCTCTATATGGAAGAACTAGAAATCTACCTCGGGTCTTGAGACTTCCAGTGCCATTCTCTTTCTTCTGCGGTGCACAGCCTTCTCCTTAAAACCGTATCAGCCATGGCCTCTGAGATGCTAAATGTTCCTATTTCTCTGGCAGCCTCTTTCCTTCTTAGTTCTTCTTCCTAATCCTACCTGAAACTGGCTATTATCCGGATGTCCCTTCTTAAGCCTCCATCTTTTCTCTCTTCTCCAGAGAGAATGCAGATCTTATCTACTCTCTCTCTTTCAACTTTTTCTTCTTTTTTGAGTTAGGGTCTCCCTCTGTCCCCCAGGCTGGAGTGCAATGGCACGTTCACACCTCACTGCAGCCTCGAACTCTTGGACTCAAGTGATTCTCTTACCTCAGCTTCCCAAAGTGCTGGGATTTATAGGTGTGAGCCACCATGACTGGCCTCAACTTTTTTTTATGATTTGTGTATTTATTTTTTATTAGGGTAAACAAAAATCTAACATGGTATCTGCCCTCTTAACAAACTTTTACATGTACAGTACAATATTGTTAATTATATGCACATTGTTGTTCAACAAATCTCTAGAACATTTTCATCTTGTGTGACTAAAACTCTATGTCCATTGAACCGCAACTCCTTATTTTTCCCTCCCCCAGCCCTTAGCAACAACCATTTTACTTTCTGCTTCTGTGACTACTTTAGATAACTCATGTATGGTGGAATCATGCAGTATTTGTCCTTCTGTGACTGGTTTATTTCACTTAGCATAATTTTCTCAAGGTTCATCCATGTTGTAGCATCTAACAAGATTTCTTTCTTTTTAAGGCTGAGTAATATTCCATTGTATGTATGTACCACAATTTCTTTATCCATTCATCCATCAATGGACATGTAGATTGCTTCCACCTCTTGGCTGTTGTCGATAATCCTACAATGAACATTCTTTAACTATTATAACACTGTGGGAAATAACTTACATAAAGTCATTACCACGAGTCTCAACTGATCTCCTGAACTGCCATCCCACATCTCCAGCTGCTTATTAATCATTTCTGACTTCACCACCACCACCCCCAACGTGATGTGTCACAAGTCAGATTTATCAACTGACCATCATTCTTCTGATCACTGAGGCTTAAACCTAAAGCCATCTTTGCTTCTTTCTTCTCCCTTGCCCTTATATGCAGTTAGGCCCCCAGTCCCTGTTGATTCTTTCTTTGTAATTTATAATTTATTCTGCTTCTGTTGATACTACTTTTTTTTTTTTTTTTTGAGATGGAGTTTGGCCCTTGTTGCCCAGGCTGGAGTGCAATGGTGCAGTCTCAGCTCACTGCAACCTCCACCTCCCGGGCTCAAGCAATTTTCTTGCCTCAGCCTCCCAAGTAGCTGGGATTACAGGTGTGCACCACCACACCCAACTAGTTTTTTGTATTTTTAGTAGAGACGGAGTTTCTCCATGTTGGTCAGGCTGGTTTCAAACCCCTGACCTCAGGTGATCCACCCACCTCAGCCTCCCAAATCTCAGCCTGCTGGGATTACAGGCGTGAGTTACCGTGCCCAGCCCAATCCTTCCTTTCTATTCCGCCTTCACACTCTCCTGCACATACTATTGCAAACACATCCTAGGTGGTCTCCAGGCTTCTAGGCTCAGGCAGGAGTATTGAGAGCCTTAGGCTAGTAGATTAGAGGACAAAGAATTTGAGACCCAAGCAGAAGATTCCATCAAATTCATCTTGCATAGCTACCTGGTTAATCTTTTGAAGGCAACTTATACTTTCTCCGCAGCTCAGCTGCCTTCATGCCTTGAGGATAAAGCTAAGACTCCTTAGCAGAGTTCTGAGGGCCTTCTGGTCTAGCCTCAACTACCCTTCTGGCTTCATTCCCCACCACTAGCCCCCATAAGTTCCCTCCACTTTGGTAAGAACAGCCATATTCATGCTCCATGAACCCCATAAACATACTGTTCTTGTTTCTATTTTCACACCACTGCCCATGTTTATTTCTTTCTTTCTTTTTTTTTTTTTTTTTACTTTTTTGAGACAGAGCTCACTCACTGTGTTGCCCAGGCTGGAGTGCAGTGACACAATCTTGGCTCACTGAAACCTCTGTCTCCCAGGTTCAAGCAATTTTCCTGCCTCAGCCTCCTGAGTAGCTGGGATTACAGGTGCACACAACCATGCCCAGCTAATTTTTGTATTTTCAGTAGAGACAGGGTTTTGCCATGTTGGCCAGGCTGGTCTCGAACTCCTGACCTCGTGTGATCCCTGCCTGCCTCGGCCTCCCAAAGTGCTGAGATTACAGGCATAAGCCCCAGTGCCAGGCCTGCCCATTTTATTTCTATATAGATCTACCTTTTTTTCTTTCATCTTAAATTTTACCCATCCTTCAAGGTGCAATTCAAGTGTGATGCAGTGAAAAGAAAATAGGTCTTGGGGTAGGACAAATGTTTATTTAAATTCTTGCTCTACTTATGAGCAAGCATGCCCTGGGACAAGTTTCTTAGCCTCCTCTCTATGTCTCCATTCTGTCATCCATTAAATGGGGATCATAACGCCAGCTTCATAGGACTATTAAATCAAGGGGGAACATTTATAAAGCATCTGGGCAAGTATCTGGCATATACTAGGTGTTCCATAATTGTTAGTTTCTCTCCATGAAATCTTTCATAGCCATCTCAGTCCATAGTTACCTATGTCCTCTGAATTCATTACTAAAATGAATTCTGCCGGTGCTTTCATGAAACAGTCTACAATAGCTCCAAGGTTCCATAGGACATAAAGTTACCACTCAGAGCCTGGCAACCTATTAGAAGAATGTTGAATAAATATGAAAAGTAAAAATAAGAGAAGCTAATGTTCATTGGACACTTATTATGCTCTAAACACTGTGCCAGGGCTTGGCATGCATTGTCTCATATCATTTTCACAATACCACTATGAGGTAGGGGTCATTACTATTCTCACTTTACAGATGATAAAATTTATGCTGGAGGTGTTCTCACTCATAGGTAGGAATTGAACAATGAGAACACTTAGACACAGGACGGGGAATATCACACACTGGGGCCTGTCGTGGGGTGGTGGGAGGGGGGAGGGATAGCGTTAGGAGATATACCTAATGTAAATGACAAGTTAACGGGTGCAGCACACCAACATGGCACATGTATACATATATAATAAACCTGCATGTTGTGCACATGTACCCTAGAACTTAAAGTATAATAATTAAAAAATTATGCTGGAGGAGGTGGAGTGACTTGCTTAAAGTCACATTCACGAAGGGCAGAGTCAGGATTCAGAGCCAAGAAGTCTGGTTTCAGAGGCCACTCCTTGAACAAGCCTACTCTGACTCTTTTTTCTCTGATCATCAATACAACTATAAAAGGATCAAAGTCAGCTTTGCATTTTGTTACCTGTAAAAGTTGTGGTCATCTAAAGGTTGCCCAGACAACTTACCAAAACATTGACTGGTCCCAGCACTGATCCCTGAGACATACCACTGTTCATACTTCTCCAGAAAAGTCTATGCTTATTCCTACTTGTGCTTCCCTGACTATAAGCCACTTTCCTATCCATTTCAAAGCACTACTCCACAATTCCATGGTGACTTAACTTGTTAAAACAGTGTTTGGCGTGGGATCTTGTCAAGGGCCTTTTCAAAATCTAAATAGATTACATCCATGGTTTCCCTTTGTCCACATACACATTTATCCTGTAAAAGAATTCTAGTCAATTTGTTAGGCATGATTAACACTAAGTTCTTTATAAACTGTAAAACATTAGACAAATGGTGGTTAATTTAATTGAGAGGAAAAGTGATGCCTTGTCCCCAATGCTTTACACTTGCCTAACATGTTCAGTGATCCTACCAGCCTGAAGTTCCTTGGGCCCCCTTTACAAATTCTTCTC